ACACACACACACACACACACACACACACACACACACGCAGTGGTGCATGTAAAAATGGGTGAAAATTGAATAAGGTCCATAGTTTAGTTGACAACGTCAATTTCCTGGTATCGCTAACGCACTCTGGTTGTGTAAGATTTATCACTGGGGTTGCTGGATAAAGAGAACACAAGGAATCTGTGTTGCGCTTGCACCTTCTTATAAGTCCAAAACTACGTCCAAATAAAAAGGTTTCAAAACGCAAAGACAATTTAAATAATTTAAAAAAAAATCACCTTTTTTTTTTTTTCTTTTTTAAAGTCCCCAGCCAAGAAACAGCACAAAGTCACCCCCTTACCTGAGAACTGGGGATCAGCGCCTTCCACCAGTGCCCGCCTTTCACCAGGTCAACCTCGCACAAAGGCACGGAGACCTTCCCAATGACACAGTGGCGGGAGAACTTATCAAAATCCACCACGGTTAGCAGCAGGGTCCTCCTCTGCGCTTCCAGGAAGGGGATCTCGAAGGTGTAACGCTCCTCAAACACGGGCTTCTGGGTCTTGCGTTTGACCCCCGTCTGCTTAGAGTTCTTCTGGTCTGGCAGGAGACAGATCTTGACATAGGGGTTGGAGTGGGCCATGTCCTGGCGCGAGCCATCGTGGGAGATGGGGGGCGGCAGGTCCCTGGCCTCGATCACCCTCACTGTCAGATGGTTGTGCAGCAGGTCGTACTGGGTGCTGAAGTGCAGCATGCCCAGCTGGTACTTGGACAAGATCTCTTCGTCTGTCAGAAAGTCCACATCGTCACTGTCGGAGTCGAGGGAGTAGAGCTGGGGCTCGAACTTTCTGAAGTAGTCATCTGGGGTATAGGTCCGTCTGAGCACCGAGGGCTGGATGGGCTCCTTTTTGGCGCTGAGAACGCCAAACTCGATGGGTTTAATATCAATGAGTGGGGAGCTGGGTCGTCTGGATTCAAGACCTAAACAGCCGCCAAAAAAGAACAATTAGCACCACCACATATGGGGCCAAGCCTGGGCTGCTTCTTGAGATTGGCAACATTTCCCAGACTCCTATATTGTTCACTCTGTTTCACAATGCTCTTCCCCATCTGCTCTCCACACCTTGAGATCCTCTTATTTATTCTATGAGAGGCAACAAGACGGCATTATCACCTCCATCACTGCCACGCACTGTTCTAAACGCCTTGATATATCAAGTCACCTGATGGCCACAAGGTATTAGGGAATGACTAATCTGACAGATAGTAACTCTCCAAAAGGGACACAAGTACTAAGAGGAGAAGCCAGGAGTCAAGCCCAGGCTGTCCGGCCCCAGAGTCTTGACTCTAGCTGGTACCCTATACTGTCTCTACTTTCAGAGAGTGGACTCTGGAGCCAGAGCTTCTGGGACTCAGTTTCCCCATTTGTAAAACGGAGTCAATAATAGCACCTACTTCAAAGATTGTGGTGATTCACAGAGCCAATGCATGGAAAGGGCTCGGCATAGAATGTGCACAGGGTACGAGCTCACTCAATGGTAACTGATGCACTTCTGCAAGAACCATGTTTGGACTTCACCGCTTGTGGGGCGCCTCCTCCCTGCCTATCAGCCAGCAGAGTTCATTGCTCCCAAGTTCATCATTTGAATCTTTGCTCATCCCTCTATTCTAGCAATAATCACATGGAATTTTTTTTTAAACTATTTAATTGAGGCACAACTGACATACAAAAAGCTGTGCATATTTAATGTACACAATTTGATGAGTTGGGAGGTAGGCAGGCATCCTGAAACCATCACCACCACAATCTATGCCATAAACATATACCATCACCTCCCAGTAGTCCCTCCCCCATTTTTCTCTCTGCTCCTAGGAGTTTGACCATTAGATTCCCCATCTACATGGAGTCATACGGTATTTGTTCTTTCATGACATTCTTGTTAATTGCTTGAACACCGGTCTTGCCTGTGAAAATTGTGAGACTTGTGTCTCGTGCATGGTTGGTATTCTGACAGCTGTGTGCTAAATGGAAATCATCCGTGTATAGAGCTGGGCATGAGACCTAGGAACTATCTAGACCAGTGCTATTCAAGAGAAATACAATGGGGACCAGAAATACAAACCACACAGGGAACATAAAATTTTCCAGTAGCCACAATTCTCTTAAAAGTACAAAGAATTGGGTGAAAGGGCACCTGGGTGGCTCAGTTGGTTAAGTGTCCGACTTTGGCTCAGGTCATGATCTCACAGTCCGTGAGTTAGAGCCCCGTGTTGGGCTGTGAGCTGGCAGCTCAGAACCTGGAGCCTACTTTGGATTCTGTGTATCCCTCCCTCTCTCTCTCTTTCCCTCCCCCTCTCGCACTCTGTCTCTCTCTCTCTCAAAAAATAAATGAACATTGAAAAAAAGATTATATAAAAAAAAGAAACAGGTGAAATTAACTTTAATGTTTTTGACATATAATCAAAATAAAAACATTTTAGTGAGACAGTTTAAAGTCTCTTTCATGTACTGTCTTCAAAATCATGGGTACATAACGCATACATCATGTCTCAGTTGGGCTTAACCTCCCATTTAAATTGTCACCAGCAACATGCATTGGACTGCATAGGTCAAGAAGAGCCCTCCCATTTTACAGATGGAAAGACTGAGGCCTAGAGAAGCCTCACATCCCCTCTTTTCCACTCTTTCAAGCCCTCGAACTTTTCTCTGCTTCCTTTTTCTTCCCTATTTACTCCCAGGAAAGATCAGACACCAATATTTCCACCTGAGTGGATTTATTTCATGAATTTTAAGCTTTTTCCCTCTGTTAAGTGAATTGCAGCAGCTGAATGAGACAGCAGAGACACTTTCAGGAGGTGAGAGGAGGCTGGGAGTCTTTGGGCTTTATCCTCCTTTCTCCTCCCCATCCACATCATGCCATTTGGTCAAACACATACTCTGCACATCAGAGTGGACAAACTGGGGGGCCTAGAGACCAAATTTGACCCACAGATACATTTTGTTGGAGTTTAAAACAAAGGAGGCTTCATACAGAAACACAGATTGCCAGTTTTTCTTTGGAAAAGTCAGGTAATACGGAGCCCACCATCTCCTTCAGTGAGGGCCGAGTAGCAGCTGCCCCCTTCTAATGGGGCATCAGCTCCCATGGCCACAGTCCCCACCCTGCCCTGGTAACTCCGGAGGCTGAGACAACCCCTTCCCTCACGTGGATCCATGCGGGGATGCTGTCAGCTCTCTTCTTTTGTCTTGGGGACCCGGCTAACTGGATTTGAATCATGGGCTCTGAGCAGAGGCTGAGTAGCACAGGATTGCTGAGCCACGAGCCCTAGACAGTCACAGCAAAGATGCTTACTTGAAATCCTCCGGGTCAGGCTGTAGGTAGACTTAGATGTGTCTGAGGACGAGCATCTTCGATCTGGGGAGTTGGTCCTTGGGGTCAGAGGGACTTCACTGGCTGTATGGACGGAATCCCCATCCTTGTCGCTGCTCCGGCTGGCCATCCTACAGGAAAAGAAGAGGTTTCAACGGTTGTCAAAAAATCTCCAGGGGCTGGCATCTCTCTCTCCCTTAGAGGACAGACCCATGATGAAACTGTTGCGGATCCAATTTGTACTACTTGCAATAATAGAAACTCGAATCAGTGTGGTAGCCCTAAGCTCTCAAAAACACCTCACTTTTTTTTTTTAAGTTTATTTATTTTTGAGAGAGAGAGTGTGCGTGGGAGCATGAGAGCGTGTACATGAGTGGGGGAGGAGCAGAGAGAGGCGGGGGGGGGGGGGGGTGGTACAGAGGATCCAAAGTGGGCTCCGAGCTGACAACAGAGAACCAGATAAGGGGCCTGAACTCAAGAACCGTGAGATCATGACCTGAGCTAAAGTCAGACGCTTTAACCCACTGAGCCACCCAGGTGCCCCAATAACATCTTACGTTTTGCACAAAATATGAAATGATATTGAATAAATACCCTCCAATTTAGAACAATCTGTCAAGAATGTGCATAATTTCACATTCACAGACCGGGGGGAGGGAACTTACTCAGGGTATTGCCACATGGGGGCACCACTTAGGCTAAGTCAAGACCAGGCCTGTTGGTCTTCAGTCTGGAAGACACCAGAAGGTTGTTTCTACCCATCTGATCTTCTGCAGATGGCTTTTGGTGAGGAATGCCCTGGTATTTCAACCTTCACTGTGTCTCTACTTTGATATCTTTAAAAAATATCCTATAACAGGGGCGCCTGGGTGGCTCAGGCGGTTAAGCATCCAACTCTTGATTTTGGTTCAGCTCACGATCTTACGGTTCGTGAGTTTGAGCCCCGCTTAGGGCTCTGCCCTGATAGCATGGAGCCTGCTTGGGATTCTCTCTTCCTTTCTCCCTGCTCCTCCTCCCCCACTCACACACAAGTGTGTGCACACTCTCTCTCAAAATAAATAAATATCTAAAAAATACCCTATAACAGTGTCACTCAAGAGTTCTTGGAGCGGCAGGGCAAGAGCTACAAAATGGTGCTGAGAATGAATGACTTGAGAACAATAGTTCGATGTGAAGAAACAGCTAAAAAATGAGCAGCAGCTCTGATTCCATGTGCTCCCAATGAGGATGAAAAATACTGAAAGAATAAAAAACACCATGTCGGGGGGTAGGGAGATACAGGGTGGTAATTAAGAGCACAACCTCTAGATTTGAACCCCGCCTGGGTGACCTTGGGCAAGGCCCTTCCTCTGTGCCTCCATCTACCCATCTGTAAAGTGGGACTAATGATACTCACCTTGTATGGTTCCAGTGAACACTGAAGGAGTCAACGCATATAATATAATATGCTTAGAACAGTTCTGGGTATGTAGTAGGTATGTGCTCAATACATTTCAGCTGGTATTAGTACAACCTGTAAGAGCCCCCAATCCCCATAAAGCTAGTAAGGGTGCTTGGGGAAGGGGAAGTGAGGGGGCAAAGCTGGCGGTGTGGCCTGTGAGATGGATGCCGCTAATAACATGCCCCTAAGCTATTGTGGCTGTAGACTGATACTTTCCGAGACTGCACCTCCCACCCCCCCAACTTGACATTTAAGCCTGCGCGGAGCTGGTCTTGAAAAATGCAAGTTTCCAATTCTAGGAGGTCTTCAGATGCATCCTGTGCATGAAATGAGACTGATCTCATGTTCTTCCAAAGCAAGATCAGGGTCACAGCCAGGACAAGACCAGGCATGTTGCAGGGGGAGGGGAGGATGCCCAGTCCTTGCTTGCCTCCTCCTCCTGGTCTGTAAAAGGTGAGTATAGCAGATGAAATGTGGGGGGTGGGAGGAGGAAAAGGCAAAGAAATGCAATCATATTCTATCACGCATTCTTCTCTCTCTCCCTTAGATGCAAGCAGCAGCACCTTCCGAAGAAGGCAGAACCACCTCAGCACCTCCACCTGCACCTGTGAGGCCCCACCCAGCTTGGGCGCGATCGCCCCCTGGAGCTCCGGTCCAGTCCTCTCAGCCCTTGTCTGAGCAGCCCCTGCCCTCTCTGCACCCACCATGCTTCCCGGCCCTTCCTCCAACACAGCGAGCTGGGCCACGCTGTTCTCTCTGCTTGGGATGCTCTTCCTGTCTCCATCTCCTGTGCGGCTCCTTCTCATCAGTCAGGTCTCGGCTTCAAAAGCACCTCCTCAGAGAGCCCCCACCCTGTCGCTGTCACCTCCTCCTACCCTATCAGCCCTTGGCCCTGCACCTTCTTTCCCCCCTTTAACAACGCACATAACTCCTCTCTAGTTGTGGCTTGTCTTCTGCGTCTGACACCAGATCCTTGCCCCACGAGGGTGGTGTCTCATTCACCACTGCCCACCCTGCCCTGGCACAGAGTCTGGCACGTGCAGAGCCTTCCACATTCATTTTCTCAGTAAATGAATGAATGAACACACCCTTCTTGGGATTCTTATCTGATTTATCTGGTCTCAAGATGATCTGAGTGCTTATCTTGTCCCGCCTCCCACAGCAGGTACACTTCTTAAATGGGGGGGGGGGGGGGGGGGGGCAGGGGGAGATGTGTACTTATCTTGATCAAAGGTACCAGGTGCTGAGCACCAACTATGTGCCAGGCACTGTGCTAAATGCTCTGTCTGAACCATCTCATTTCACCCTTAAAACAATCCGGAGTTTACTTCTGTTACTAACAACCCTCATCCTCTTTACAGACTGGGGAATGGAAGCCTGGTGGGGTGGGGGTTGGGATGGATATTTATTTTGCACCACTGTTAAACTCCCAATGAAGTCCAGCAATACCAGCTTCTAAGCTGCACACCCCAAACTACTGAGCTGGGCATCCCTTGTGAGGCCTGTAAGAGCTATGCATATAGTAGGTATTCAATACATGCTTGATGGACACGGAAATAACCTGAGTAGTTCACTCTTCAATGATGGTCTTTCTGGCATTGCTCCAAAAGGAGCCAGTGGGATTGTACAGTTTTCCTGACCTTCCCCAGCCCAGCCCAGCCAAGGAAAGAATGGGGGATCCAAATGACAGGAGCATATGTGGCAATTAATGGTGTGTCCCCCCAAATCACACACACAAAGGACCAGCTCATCTGGTACCTGCCACCCCACAGAGAGGCATGTCCTGTGGTTCTGAGCTCAAATGTCACAGTAGGAACAGCACTGCAAAGCCTGTACACTTGACATTTCTACTCCCTGCCTGTTTGATAACATGCAACTGCCCACTTGGTAAATAAATCTGGGGAAAGCACAAGCTGTAAATTCACTTTCTGAATGATTTAACCCGCCTCCCCTTTACAGATTTCTCTTAACATTTTGCATTATGTTGCGTGCCACAAAGGTACTAAGTTGCTACCCAGGATGCAAGATATTCATCCTGGGAAGCATGGAAGGTGATGTACCGCTGTTCAGGCTCTAGACTGCAGAGTTCTAGGTGTTATCATTCATAATGACGACCATATGAAAGGGGCTTTCTGGAGTTGTGTCATGTGTCGGCCCTGCTGGGAAGGTTCCAATGCTCTTCTCTGCTTGTGGCAAAACCAAAGTGTCATCCCAGAGGGTCCCAACTCCCTACCCCCTGAAAGAGTCCCCCGCTTGCACAAAGGGTCAGCAGCCCAGGTAAAGTGCAACTGTTCACCAGCTCAGTGGTAGAACCCAGGCCATGCATCTGTAATACTTAACATCTGGGTATCTGGGGAAAAAAGGTACCTGACTGATTTTCAATGTCCATCAGGATTCTCCACTAACAGGCGGCTGGGTGGCTCAGTTGGTAAGCATCCCTCTAGATTTTGGCTCAAGTCATGATCTCACGGTTCAGGAATTTGAGCCCCACAGCAGCCTCCAAGCTGGCAGTGTGGAACCTGCTTGGGATTCTCTCTCTCCCTCTCCCCTCTCTCTGCCCCTTCTCAGCTCATTCTCTCTCTCTCTCTCTCTCAGAGTAAATAAATAAACTTAAAAAAAAAAAAAAAAGGATTCTCCAGTGGTTCAGAAGCAAATTCAAATTCTAACTCCGCAATCTGACGTTCAAAGCCCTACATGCTCTGAGCTTGCAGGCTCATTTTCCATGATTCCCCTACTCTTTCTAGATATTGTGACCATTTGTGGTATTTGCCTACCCTGGGTCCATTCTCTCCTCTCTGGTTACAGTGCTCAAATTGTCTATTACAGAGATCAGCAAACTATGGGGCCAGATTTTGCTGCCTGATTTTGTAAATGAGGTAAGACTGGAACATAGCACGGCCAATCATTAATGCCTCACCTATGGATGCTTTCGCATTACAATGACAGAGTGAGTGGCTGAGACAGAGACTAAGCCCACGAGGCTAAAATATTTACTGTCTGGCCCCTTTACAGGACAAGTTTGCCAACCCCTGGTCCACGAGCTGAGTTCATGTGTGTCAGGTGGGAATGATCCTTTCCCTGGTTCCAGGTGGTCAGACAATCCAGGCATGATCCTAGCACCATTTCCTCCAAGCAAAAGTGATTGGCTCAATGTTTGGCACATGACCCAAACCAGGACAATAAGAGCCTCTCCTGGTTTGTTTGCTGCTATTGAGAATGAAGCAAAGAAGAAAACAAGCTTAAGAATCACGCAATACAGAAGAAACAGAAAGAGACAGGGAGGTGGAGAGGGCACAAATGCATGCCCATGACAACATTTGTACCCCTGGATCCACCGATGCCCGAAGCCATTATCCCTGGACTTTTTCCACAGTGAGACTCTATGTAAAACTGTCATATTGGTGTGCAGGGTGTGAATGCACAACTCCAGGCGGTAGCTGGACCTATGTACCTGCCTTATCTCCTGTACTAGATTTTAAATCTCCTGAGCACAGGAATGGGACTCTATCTAGCCTCTGCATCCCACAGTGCCTGGCACACAGTGCATACTCGAGAAATAATTACCAAAGAAACTGTAAGGTTTCAACCAGATGACTGGCACTTCCAGGATTCAATTTTTGCCGGTAGGTTAGTCAGTCAGTAACTATTTTTTGGCGTGAACAACACAGATAAAAACCCTGCCCTCACAGAGCTGGCACTGCCTGAGTACGGCTTTCAAGATACCAAATGGGCTGAGCCAACCTCTATACCTAGGGCACTAGAAAATGGGAATGACCTCTTGATTAATGAACTGGTTCCACCAAACACCTCAACCCTATGCACACCTGCAGGATTCAGGCTACAATCCATGACTGATGAAATAATTTCTTAACACTATCTTTACACCAGTTTAAAGAATCTCTAGTGGGGCTCTTGGGTGGCTCAGTCAAGAGCATCCAACTCTTGGGGCGCCTGGGTGGCTCAGTTGGCTAAGTGTCCGACCTCGCTCAGGTCATGATTTCCCAGTCTGTGAGTTCAAGCCCCGTGTCGGGCTCTGTGCTGACAGCTCAGAACCTGGAGCCTGCTTCGAATTCTGCGTGTGTCTCTCTCTGCCCCTCTCCCACTTGCACTCTCTCTCTCTCAAAAATAAATAAACATCAAAAGAAATTTATTTATTTATTTTGAGAGAGAGAGAGAGAGAGAGAGAGAGAGAGAGAGAGAGAGAACAAGCAGGGGAGGGCCAGAGAGAGAGAGGGATAGAGAATCCCAAGCAGGCTCAGCACTGTCAGCACGGAGCCTGATGCGGGGCTCAAACTCATGAACCGTGAGATCATGACCTGAGTCAAAACCAACAGTCAGACGCTTAACTGACTGAGCCACCCAGGCGCCCCTAAAAAAATTTAAAAAGAGCATCTGACTCTTAATTTTGGCTCAGGTCATGATCTCAGGGTTGTGAGACTAAGCCCTGCATCGGGCTCTGTATTGGGTGTGGAGCCTGCTTGAGATTCTCTCTCTCCCTCTCTCCCCAACTCACTCTTTCTGTCCCTAAAAGAAAAAAAAGAATCTACAAATAACAGAAATGATTCCTGGGGCCCCTGGGTGTCTCAGGTGGTTAAGCATCAACTTCGGCCAAGGTCATGATCTCACGGTCATGGGTTTGAGCCCCACATCCCACATCAGGCTCTGCTGTCAGATCCTCTGTCCGCCCACCTCGCTGTCCCTCCCCCGCTCACACACACTCTCTCCCTCTCTCAAAAATAAACAATAAAACAGCAATAATAATAATAATAATAATAAAAAGTGGTTACTAACTGCTCTGCGAAGCAGGTTATGCTTAATCACAACCCTAGAAAATAAGTTCTATTCCTGTTCTCACTTTACAGATGAGAAAACCGAGACAAAACAGGGTGAGATGGGTCACCTACATTTATGACTGCCGACCAGGTGACAATCATTCTTAAGTGCTCTTCTGTGTACTAATCCATGCAGTCGCCACAACAACCATAGGAGATAAACACTATTGTTTTTATCACCCCCATTTTACAGATGGGAAATCAAGGCAAAGAGATCTAATGACTTGCCCAAGGTCACAGAACTAGAAAAAAAAGTAGGAGAAACTGGATATGAATGCATGGAGCCTGACACAGAGCCATTTTGCTATGGAAATATTTGATGCTTGCTTCTAAGGAGAGCAGGTGAGAGGGGTGAGCCATGACCCGCCAACATGAACGGAAAGAGGGGGCATCATGGACTTCCAGAAACGCGGCTGAAACAGCACCGGGTTCCCACTGAGGCTCTGGCTGTGGGCCCTTGCACTGTCTCTTGCCCTCTCTGGACCTCCCCGTCCGTGTCGTGAGAACCTGTCCTCGAGGACGGCCAGGCCCCTTCTCGGCGCTGGACCGGCAGACTCAACCCAGACTCTCTGGCCACGTTCCTCTCTCAGCCACAGAGAGGTGGACCAGACACGTGGCTGAGAAGCTTCAAAACTGTGTTCCCAAAATATCTGAGCGACTGGCAGATGGAGATGTTGTGTGCAGGCGCGGGAGGAGCACGAATTAGAAATAAAATGAGAGATGCCAGAGAGAACATAAACAGCGTTGGAGGACAGGATGGAGCCTGGGGGTGCTCTTCTGCTTCCCTGTTTCTGAAGTTCTTGTTCAGACCAGCAAAAAGGCATTTGTTTGTTCATTCCATCTACCACCCATGTAGCAGTTTTTACTGAGCATCGACTATGTGCCAAGCACCAGGTCAGGCGGTGGGACAGTTTGTCATACTGACTTGGATGGGAATCTTTAGAACTTGGACATCCCTTGAAGCATCCAGATGTTCACAGAGCTCTTCCTCCACTTGGAGTGACACTCAACGTGATTAAAAGTGCCCACACGCTCGGCACCGCACGGTTCATATCTCAGGAGGACCAACGGGAAACCAGTTCAACGACAGCCTCACCACCAGCTGCCCCCCGCCCCCCGGCCTGCCCAACAAGAGGAGAGGCAGAGAGTATGTCCTCATCAGCAGCAAAGACGTCAACAGACACCCAGCCTTCCCCTGTTTCCTACCCCTATCCTCCTGCCCGCGCCCTCTCTCGCAAACCGAAAAAAGAAAGGTCTTGAGGTTGCCTTCAAGGAAGTTCAGAGCGGTTTTACTTACAGCCAGGGGGGAGTCTGGGCAGGGAAAGGTCCCAGAATTTCAACTTCGTCCTCACTCGACTGGCAACAGCTGGACTCATAACACTTCTGACAGCAATGCCTGAAAGTCCATCTGCACAGCAGCAGATCGGAGATTCTAGAAAGAAAACCCTGAGGCCATTGGGGGGAGGTGGGCAGTGGAGAGGGGGAGAGGGGGAGTGGGGGGTGGGGGGGGCGTGTGGGAGGGGTGGAGAGGAGGAAAAGGAAAAACACCCGAAATTACAAGCAGCTGATCCCTGATGAGAAATAATGACATTCAGGAGGTCTGTCTCTGCTGCTGAACACTTAGAACAAAATGTTTTCCGTTTCTATTTACCAACTGCAGGCACAAAGATGGCAAACACCAACTCGCTGGAGCCATTAATAGCGAGCAAAACATTCACAGGTATTCCCTTTTGTAGTTTATGTGAATGTCATTCTTGACATGTGGGTGGTTTATACAACATCATGAGGGCTATACAATATGTTCTCGAAAACACAATGAATATTACTGTCTTCTTGAAAGCAAAGCAAAAAGATTTTTTTTTTTTAAATAATCTCCGTGACATGAAAGTAAACAGAGGTAATCAAACGGAGTAAGGAGGGGGTGGGGAGGGATATCCACCTCTTCTCCCTTAGTGTGTTTTCATCGGGATCTCCCTTCCACAGAAACGCAGCGAAACTGTGCCGCTCTTAACCTCCAGTTATTGCTTTAATATTCAACGTCCCCACAGCCCCACATAAGACTCCAAAATGAAAGGCAAGCACTTCGTGATCAGAAACCAGACCACACGAATCATCGAATTAACCCACCTCGTTTAAAGGTTCCAACTGCCCTTTTAGAGATCCACGAAGAAGCCAAGGGGCGTCGGGGGTGAGAGGATTACAAAAAGAGAGACAAGACCAGTTTAGCAATATTCCAGCAACTCACAAAAGAAAAAAGAAAGAAAGAGGGAAAAAAAAAAAAAAAAAAAGCCCTGCATCTTTCCACTTACCATCCTGGGAAGGGAGCTGACTCCCTAACAAGGTGCTGCTATCTGCGGGGCTGCTGGTAGCCTCCTGGCTAACCAACACCGAATAAATGGGAAACTTTAGCATTTCGATTTGATTTGCACCGTATGCTGTTATGAATCAGAGCGGGTGGATAGATAGTCATGCTATCCAATGCAGCCACGCTTGGGAAGAGCAAACCTTCCTATACAGAAATAGCCATAAAGCCAACCCAAAAGGACATGACTAGCTAACATGCAGGCAGGCACAGAGTGGATGTCACTTGGCTCCCGCACCCTCCCAGAGGCCCTACCTTACAATTCTGCTCCAATGGTGATGGTGGGGAGTTCCTATGACCACCCACAAACACAGGGAGCCCAAAAGGAAGCCATAATCTGGTCCTGGGGAGGGCGGAGGGGGTGGGGCTACCTCCCTTTTCAGCCCCACCTCCCACCCCCACTTCTTCTCACAGGTTTCCAAGGCACAGATTCCCTCCCCCTCTTCAAGGGAAGAGTCACAGTGGCTTCCAAATGAATGGGCCAAGTAAACCAGGTAGATTAGGAACTCCACATCCCAGCCTGGGATATATCCCAGAGAGGAACTCAAACTCAGAACTTTAAATCAAGAGGGAGAAAGTTACCCTCTTTTTCATTTCCCTTTCCAGGAGGTCTCCCTTTGGTATCATCATGTGTTAACGGGTTTCTAACACTTGCAAATCCCCCCACCCCCTCTTTCTTTTTTAAATAGAGAGCAAACCTCAGCTCAGAGCCTGGGACCTAACTAATCATGTGGCATTACTATCATCCTGTTTATTCTTCTGGTTGCCTTCTGCTCATATCAAGTGATTCTGGTCTTCCATTATGCTAGTGACATAAAGTTTCCTTTTCAAATGATTTTAAGTAAAAAAATAATAATAATAAGCGAGCCCATTTATAGGAAAAAGTATTAAATAAATCTGGTACAAGTGATAGCTCACAAAAAATTCAAAAATCCTTGAAGTGATAAGGGAATGATTACGGCTTGGGAAATGAAGTCTCAGGCACTAATCACAAACTCTTCCCAAAGCAAAACTGGGAACCCTACATGGCAAGGCCTGAAGATGCTTGGGGGCCACGCAGAGTTGAGTGGTTAAGTGTTAGTGCTGCTGTCACCACCGGCCAATCACGTGACTTGGGTTAAGTCAGGGGACCACTCTGAACCTTAGTTACCTCTCTTTCATGGAATGGCTAAGCTAGGACTCGGACTATGCACATGCCCCACCACAAAATATCTGCACCCTTTCTGTGGCTTTATGAGAACGAGGTGGTTTGTCAAGACCAGTTGGAACCTACTAGGCACCACAGACTGTCCAGGCCGGCCCACGCAGGTAAAAGCAGGAAAAAGCTATGCCCTCATGCACTTACAAATGAAAGTGCTTGAAAATGTTTCAAATCAAGTGCAAGGATAAAGTGCTTTTTTCCAACGGTCCATGCCCATTCTTTTCATAGAGGAAAGCATTCCTGGGTGTGTGGCAATCAAAAGACACCATTTATAAAACCATGTGAGTAGAGACCATGCCACTACAGGGGCCCAATCATCCAGATTTCTCAAACGCCAAGTTCGGCAAGATGAGAGAAACCAAGGCAAAGGAAGAGGAGAGGGAAGAAGCTAAGACACGCTTGCCACGCATTGGGTCCACTGGGTTCATGTGTTTGACTGGATGGAGGAGCACTGATTCAAGCCAGAAAGAAACAGGAAGGAGAACCCAGACATTCTAGAACAAAGGTTGGCAAGCTATGACTTGCAGGGCTAAATCCAGCCAGCAACCTGTTTTTGCATGGTCCTCCAGTTAAGGATGGTTTGTACATTTTTAAATGGTTGCAAAAAATCAAAAGGACTACTTCTTGACTAGTACAAATAGTTTTATTGGAACTCAGCCACGCCCATGCATTTACTATCATCTATGTATGTGTGGCTGTCCAGCGCCACGGTCAGAGTTGAATATTTGTGACAGGCCACGTAGGTCTCCAAGAAAAAAGTTTATTCTCTGGATCTTTATAGAAAAAGTTTCACACCTTGTTCTAGAAGCAAAGACAGTGTCACCAAGCCATTCTCATATTAGCTGTTTAACAAATTCCTCAGATTCCCCATCCTCCCTTCTAGATCCCACCATGACCCCTAAGCAGCTGTGTGACCTTGGGCAAATCACTAATCTCTGTCCTGAAGGTGGTTATTAAAAACCACAGAAGCATGTTCTAATATTGTTTATTTCTCACTGGATTCTGAAGGGCAGAGACTGCTGTTTTCACAGCTGTATCCCCAGTGCCCACATACAGTAGGTGGTCACTCGGGTGTTTGTTGGGTGACTGCTGAAAAACCCCACAACAACATTCAGCACACAGTATGTGCACAGTAAATGTGACCTTCAGTGAACTTGAAAAGAGGACCTAAAGATTGCATGGAAGCCAATGGAGCAAATCTAAGCCAGGAGAGGGATGGGGAGACCAAGGCAGGTGACAGAGCACAGAGTTCCTGGCAGGCTGAAAAGTCCGAGGACGAGAGAGATGTGACCAGTGGGGAACTGGGAGACCAGCAGCCACCCCCCCCCCACCCCCCCAGCTGTAGCCAAGGGTAGAAGAAGTGAGCTCAGATGCACCCTAAATGAGGGAACCTGTAGGCTTCTCTGCTGGGCTCTGAGGAGCCAACCCCAGAAAGCAAGCGGCTCCACG